GATGGAGGTTGCAGTGAGCCGAGTTCACATCATTGTACTCTAGCCAGGGCAAAAAGAGCAAAACTTTGTCTCAAAAAAAATAAATAAAAGAAAAAAAAGAAGAAAATGGGAATGCTGCGCTTAACCCCCATCTGCCAGGGTGGTGGGGGGATCATGTGCCTGGCACCTAGTCGACTCCCAAAACTTGTTCCTCCTTCCCAGGTGCAGCGTGCGGGTTGAACTCATGCCCATCTGCTCCTCCTCTCACCTTTGCATCTCCCACCACCAGGAAGGAGGCCAGTTGGAGAGCACGCGGCCACATTCTTGGACTCTTGGCCTCTTTGGCTCTGAAACCTCCGGCAAGTGACACACCCTCTTTGTGAAGACCAGGTGGATAAAGCCGTCCCCGGCAGCCTGAGTCAGAGTTCACCAGAGCACAAGTGAACCCTACGGACACCACCTTTGCAAAAATCACAACTGAGAAAATTATGACTGTGAAAGAGATCAGACCTAATTGACCCCATCTTGCTTCTAGCCTCTCAACTGTCCTTGTTCATTCCTAGGCGTAGGCCGAATTAGCTTTGAAAATAAATTTAGCGTATAGTTTACCTAATAGCCCTTCCCAAAGGGTTAAACCGTTCTTGTAAAATGAATGAAAGGCCACCAGTCACCAAGTCAAGATGAAAAGGGCTGGAATTCTAAATATTACCAGCCGTGATTCCGGAGGTCATAAGATTTGCAGCTTTCTCAATTACTCTTGAAGGTAACATTACTATTGTGAACCTGAGATCGGCCTTTTGAGATGTCTTTTCAGGTTTTTCTAACAGCCGCGGGACCTCATCTGGACCCGACATCCAGTTTTGTGCCCCCCACCCAGGAACTGACTCAGCAGAAGAGAGCAGCTTCCACCACCTGTGATTTCATGCCTGAGCCAACCAATCAGCACTCCCGATTCACTGGCCCCCTACCCACCAAAGTATCCTTAAAAATTCTGATCCCTGAGTTTTCAGGGAGACTGACTTGAGTAATAATAAAACCCCAGTCTCCTGCATAGCCGGCTCTGCGTGGATTACTCTTTCTCTATCGCAATCACCTTGTCTGGATATATCAGCTATCCTAGGCAGTGGCCGCGGCGAACCCCTTGGGCAGTTACACTGTCATCTAAGATAACTCCTGTTCACAAGCTCCCTGCCAGGCTGGCTGACCTGAGTCCTAAGGTGAAACTCACATGAGGAGAAGAGCATCTGCAGCCCATGTGCTGGGCAGAGGTCTCAACAAATGGAGGATGGGCTTTGCGTTCCCCTTCCATCCCCATGTTTAGGTATATGACTGATCGTCCAACTGGACACAAGAAAAAGGGAAAGTAAAGAAAGCTGAAAGAGATAGGATTGTGTCCTGATGCTTTTGGCTTTTAGGAGTTTCTTTTTTCTCCACGCCCCCCCACGCCCCCGACCTACTGCCACCAAGATGGAGTCTTGCTCTGTTGCCTAGGCTGGAGTGCAGTGAAGCAATCTCAGCTCACTGCAACCTCCATCTCCCAGGTTCAAGCAATTCTCCTGCCTCAGCCCCCCAAGTAGCTGGGATTACAGGCCCCTGCCACCACGCCCAGCTAATTTTTGTATTTTTAGTAGAGACAGAGTTTCCCCATGTTGGCCAGGATGGTCTTGAACTCCTGACCTCAGGTGATTTGCCCACCTCAGCCTCCCGAAGTGCTGGGATTACAGGCGTGAGCCATCATGCCTGGCCTGTATCTTTAGTAGAGACGAGATTTCACAATGTTGGCCAGGCTGGTCTTAAACTCCTGACCTCATGATCTGCCTGCCTTGGCCTCCCAAAGTGCTGGGATTACAGGCGTGAACCACCATACCCAGCTGGCTTTTAGGAGTTTCTAGAGCTTTCTCACAAAGGTGGTTTTTAGGTAGCACCCATAAGCTTTGGCATTCCCATTAGCCGGCTGGAAGGCAGAACTGGGCCGTAAAAACTTGAGGCCACCAGTGGCCACAGGAAGTCATCTGCCTACCCTCCCCTAACCCCATCAGAGAATCTGGAAACCAGGTTGAAACTGCTGCTAATTGCCTCAAAAGGTTAGGATTTAAATCAGTCCCCTCCAGGACACTTGTGTGACCTTAAACAAGTCCGTTTATTTATGAGTCTCAGTTTCTTTATAAAAAGGGGTGGATAGGGCTGGGCACAGTGGTTAACACCTAGAATCCCAGCACTTTGGGAGGCCTAGGTAGGTGAGTTAATCACCTGAGGTCAGGAGTTCGAGACCAGCCTGGCCAACATGGTGAAATCCTGTCTCTACTAAAAATGCAAAAATTAGCCAGGCATGGGAGCAAGTGCCTGTAATCCCAGCTACTTGGGAGGCTGAGGCAGGAGAATTGCTTGAGCCCAAGACCGGGAAGTTGCAGTGAGCTGGAATCATGCCACAGCACTCCAGCCTGGGCTACAGAGTGAGACTTCAATCTCATAAATAAATAAATAAATAAAATAAAATGAGGATAACACTGGAGCAATCTACTATTGTAAAGAGAAAGTGAAGGAACACAACACAGCAGGGCACCTCTTTCATTCAACAACTTTTTTTTTTCTTTTTTCTTTTGAGACCAAGTGTTGCTCTGTCTTCCAGGCTGGAGTGCAATGGCACGATCTCGGCTCACTGCAACCTCCACCTCCCGGGTTTCAGTGATTCTTTTGCCTCAGCCTCCTGAGTACCTGGGATTACAAGTGCATGCCACCACACCTGGCTAATTTTTTGTGTATTTTTAGTAGAGATGGGCCATGTTGGCCAGGCTGGTCTCAAACTCCTGACCTCTAATGATCCACCCTCCTCAACCTCCTAAAGTGCTGGGATTACACCCATGATCCACTGCACCTGGCCTCATTCAACAAACATCTAAGGCCCATTGTTCACTAGCAAGGCTGCCTATGCTAGGGGATAGAGTAACACAAACATGGTCCTCATGTTGCTTATAGGAGAGGAGGGATGACAGACACTCTATGAGAGGGACAGTTTGGGTTAATGGATAAGGCAACCAGGTAGATACCCCAGCCTCCCACTCACCAGCTGGGTGACCCCAGACAAACTCACTTTTTTGTTTTGAGACAGGGATTCACTGTCACCCAGGCTAGAGTGTGGTGGCATGATGACAGTTCACAGCAGCCCTGACCTCCGAGGCTCAAGCAATTCTCCCACCTCAGCCTCCCAAGTAGAGCTGGGACTACAGGCATGTGCCACAATGCTCAGCTAATTTTTTAATTTTTTGTAGAGACAGGGTCTCCCTATGTTGTCCAAGCTGGTCTTGAACTGCTGGGCTCAAGTGATCCTCCCACCTTGGCCTCCTGAAGTGTTGAGATTACAGGTGTGAACCACCATACCGTGCCAAGCTCAAACTCTTTGTGCTTTATCTTTCAACAGTAAAATGCATCCGAGCTGTACCCACTTCATAGGGTGGTGGGGATTACACAAGTCGACGTGTGCAAAAATATTTCCAGCTCCTTCTAAGTGCTCAGGTAGTACATGTATGACCACTGCAATTAGAAGGAGATGTGTAACAGGCAAAGCTGGTAGAGATGATGTTGAGGCTGATGGTGAGTGTGTCCAGCATGGGGAAAAAGCATGGTTCTGAAGGAGGGAGGTCCCAAGGAGAGAAAGAGCAGGGTGTGCTGGCGAGCAGGAAAAGGGGTGTGGATGAAGACAGGGGTGCAAGTGAGATGAAGCTGGGTAGCAAGCCAGGTTAAGGAAAGAAGTGACATGATCACATTTGCAGTTTTACTGCATTCATGCGTCTTTGATAATGTGGAAATGTAGCACCATTTGCCTTATTTTATTAATGAACTCTCAACCCCCTAATGCAGATATTAGGGTAATTCCTGGCCAGCCCTCATTCCCTCTGATTTCCAGCCCCACTGGCTTTCAGATCTGGCTCTCTCTCGGGAGGGAACCAGAGGAAGACTTAGAAAGGCTAAAGTCAGACCCAGGCATAGGGGCAGCAGCATTCTCCCCACTTGCACACCACTTTGTGACCCAGTGGAGTCAGGTGTGACTGGGTTTGAAGGGCTAGGCAAATAATTTCTCGAGTGTTGTGATCATAGAGCCATAAACGCAGCGACCTAGCCGGAATGCCGCTTCATAGTATGTTCTCAGTAAATACCAGTTTCACGTCTTTCCTCTCTAAACACAATCTTTTTTCCTTCCCCTCACTAGCAGGCTGGGAGAGCCAAAAGGAGATTAGGGTGGAGGAGAAACCGACTCTTAGGAAGCAGGGGAGAAAGGGCGCTTTTTATTTATAGCGCCATTTGCAAAGGGGCAAACTATTCTGTCACCAGCCCCTCCACCAACTTTGCGGGGTTGGGGAGTCACTCGCCCCGCCACCTCCAGCAATCCTCAGTAACCTGTAACCTGGGGAAAGGGTCCCGAGGGCTGTGCCGGGACGCTGAGACTCCGCTGGGTCATCCCGGGACCCCAGAGCGGGATGGGCAGGAGGTGGAGGTCCACTTCTGCTAATCTCAGCAGTCGGAGCCCTGGAGGCGGCGGATGAGAAAGTCCACAGCCCTGGCAATTTTGGGTGTATGGGCAGGGATTTAGCGTATGCCAACAGCAGCTCTAGTGAGGGTGCCCCCGCCCAAGCTCCTCGGAAGGGCAGCGCTCCCTCCCCACCCTCCTACCCTTTCCCCCAGCACCCAATCCCACCTTGGCTGGCGCTCCGGGAGCCTCCGGGACAGCCGGGAGGCGTGGCCTCGGGCGGCCCGCCCCTTTGATGTGCACCGGCGCCGCTGTGATTGGACAGTCGCTTGTGACGTGTGGGGACTGCGGTGGGCTCCGCTGCTGCAGCAGCCGCAGCGCGGGCCGCGGCTCGGGCTCCGGCTCCGGCTTCCGGGCATTTAAAGGGGACGCGGAGGCTGCCCGGGGGGATGGGGGCCAAGTGGAGGGGACGGTTCAGACGCACACCACCCTCGGTCCCTCGGGACTGGAGAGACTCGTGAGCCGGAGCCCAGAAATCCGGGGGTGGAAAAGACACCGCGTCCCCTCCAATTCCCGTAAGCACCCCTTGCTCCATCCTGCGCCCCAATACCTCAGCTAGCCCCCTTCCCCATTCCTTATACTCCAAACTCAGCCGGGACAGACCTCTGCCGCCGCCGTCCCCACGTGAGTCCTGGGCTCCGGGAGGTAGGGGAGGGCTGGGGTCCCGGCGCGGGGTGGGGGCTGTGGAGTTTGGAGGCGCTCCTTCACGCGCGTGGCAGTGGGGGAGTTCTGGAGCGCTGGAGTGAGTCCCCTTCTCTCTCCTACCCAGGAATATAGTGCCGGGGTGTCCCTCCGTCCCCGGATCCGGCAAAGTCAAGGAATTGGTGTCCCCTTGCTCCCTGCCACCCACAATACCCCTCCCTGAGCCGCGCACCCCCCCCCCGTCCGCATGGGAGCCCAGCGCCCGCCAGCTGGGGGTGCGCCAGAGTGCTGGCTTCCCAGTCACCTCTAAAAATATCTCTCCCCCAACCCCACCGGCAGCTGCCACCTCCCTGCCCCTAGGATCCCCTGCTAGCTTGTCCTCCCAGCCAGGGAGTGCCCAGAGGTGACTACTAGTCCCAGACGCCTCCCTGGCACCAGGGTGCAGGGCCATCACCGCCAGCTAGTCAGGACGGCAAGCTCCCAGCCCATGGGAGTCTCCAGAGCCAAGGGGAAGCTCCAGCTGCAATTTTCCCAAGAGGCGCCAGAGACTCCTGAGTTCTAATCCCAGTTCAGATGCTGTGTGACCCCTGGGATGTTAGCTTGACCTCTCTGGGCCTCTGTTTTTCCTATCTGCTGCTCAGGCGTGGTGAGCATGGAAGATAGTCACGTTTGGGGGCACTGTCTGGGAGAGGGAGGGAATTCTAGCTTAGTTGTTGGATCTGATTTCCAGTGATTGATACAAGAGACTTGCTTTTGGACAGACAGGGCTTGTTACTGTGGTCTTTTAGGGGTCCTTGCCTCCCTATTCTCATTCTGCACATTTCCTGTGGAAAACGATCCCAAAACTTTCCTGGGAACTCCATCCACCCAGTAAGAGGAGAATTTCAAACTTAGGGCCTAAGCCAGAGAGGGGCCTGTTTCTCTGCCACCCCCTTCCCACAGATTTAATCTAAGAGTATTTGTGCAAAAGGCGGGAGGAAGCAGGCAGGAATGTGTGACCCGGTGCAGAATCAGGGAGTCAGGCACTGCTTTTAGATGGGACAAAAATATGGACTCCTCGCAACCCCCCAGAAGCCCTTCTCCCTGCTCTAGCTTGTGGGAGAAGCTCAGATCCTGCTCCCTACTTTAAGGGACTCTGTTTGGTGATCACCAAAGGATTAGATGACTTAGAACAAAGGTGACAGGTGAGAGACCTTTTGGAATATCACAGGAGCCAAATTCCAACCGGGATGGGGTTCCTCTGACTCCTGTGGGGTGAGGACGAGGTGTCACCGCATGGCCTTCTCAGTTTCCAGGGGAAGAAACCCAAGATGCCTGACTTTCTGCTTTGGAGACTAAAAGAAACAAGGACAACTCACCAAACTGAATTCCCTAGAGACTATTATTAGCAGAAAAATGTAACTTGTTAATGATGAGAAATTAGTTTTTTGTGTGTTTTGGGGATGGGGTTACTCCCTCTGTCACCCAGGCTCGGGTGCAGTGGTGCCATCACAGTTCACTGCAACCTCTGCCTCCTGGGTTCAACGGATCCTCGTGCTTCAGCCTCCCAAGTAGCTGGGACTACAGTCGCAAGCCACCATACCCAGCTAATTTTTGTTTGTATAGAGACAGGGTTTTGCCATATTGCCCAGTCTGGTCTTGAACTCCTGGACTTAAGTGGTCTGCCTGCCTCGGCCTCCCAAAGTGTTGGGATTACAAGCTTTTTTTTTTTTTTTTTTTTTTTTGAGATGGAGTCTTGCTCTGTTGCCCAGGCTGGAATGCAATGGCATGATCTTGGCTCACTGCAATCTCCACCTCCCAGATTCAAGCGATTCTCCTGCCTCAGCCTCCCAAGTAGCTGGGATTATAGGCATGTACCACCATGACCAGCTTATTTTTAGTAGAGATTGTGTTTCACCATGTTGATCAGGCTTGTCTCGAACTCCTGATCTCATGATCCACCCACCTCAGCCTCCCAAAGTGCAGGGATTACAGGCAGGAGCTACCATGCCCAGCCGGGATTATAGGCTTATGCCACCCTGCCTGACTGAAAAATGAGAAGCTTTGACCATAATTAATAATTGATAGAATAGTAAAAAAAAGAAAGAAAGAAACAAGGGCAAAGTAATGAAATCCTTCTCTATGGGATGAAAGCTGGTCTCTGGGTAGCTGCTGGTGACCCTTGGAATTTTGTATCTGCCCTCTGCCTCTCTCCAGGTGACGCACAGGCCTGTCCTGTTTGCCTTTTTATAAGGGGAGTGGCATCCCTGACCTTTCTCTTATAACTCACCTGGCTGAGGTTGGACATGTGATATCAGCTGGGATTCTGGAAGGTTGGAAGTCCCTCCAGATAGAGAATGGGGACTGCTCCAACTCATGCCATTTCCTTGTCCCTCATGCAACCCTTCCCTTCTCTCCCACTTCCTCCTTGACCTGCCTCCTTTCCCATCCCCCACCCTCTCTGCCCACTGCTTTATTCAGATTTGATCACCTCTCCCAATTCCTAGACTAGAAGGTCTTAGAAAAAACTGAGAGCCACATTCCATCCCTGCAGAAGGACTGAACACATGTGCGGTCAGGGTGTTGTAAGGAAGGGGGTACCGCAAGATGGAGAGTGCTAGAGCCTGTGCCTGCCGCAGTTTCGGTCCTGGGGCAATTGCTTCTCCCTCCTGAGTAGTCAGGGGAGAGTGTCACCTTGACAGAGGGGGGTTACAGTGTCACCATTGTCGCCACCAGAGGGCAGCAGCCAGCCAGACCTTTGCTCCTCTCTGGGTCTTGTCTCCTGGCTCTCTGTGTCTTTCCAAATCTTGTCCCAGCTGCCTGTGGTCTCATTCAACCCCAGGAGCGTGGGTGGGAGAGTAGAAAGGCACTGGAAGCTATAGGTGGTGTCCTTTGCCGCTGTCTTGGTGAAGAACCCAAGAGGCTAAACCCAGTCCCCAAAGCCACACCAAAGTCTAGCCGAGATTTCAACCTGACTCTCCTGTCTGATTGCCAGACCCTTGAGAGCACCAGGGAGGCCATTCCCAGATCACCTGTGAGACCTGGCTGGGGGTCCCAGACCCCCAGCCATGGTATAGTAAGTTTTGGTTGTCTCCTTCCTTTTTGAGGGCATGGGGAATGCAAAGCTGTGGTCAAGCATTCAGAAAGTGGTCCTGCCCCAGGTAAACAGCATGGCTGGTTAGTTAACCTCTCCGAGCCCTTCTCATTGGGTGAATTCATGACTGATGAGTAGTGAGAGAATACGGGTGAAGGTGATTTGTAAATGATGATGTGTCAAACTCATGTAAGGGACAATGATTATACCTGAGAAAAAAACTGGTCTCAGGATCAGATCTGGGCTTGAGGTCTGTTTGCCATTTACAGTGGGTGACTTTTGGAAACCTGAATTAACTTCTCTGGGTCTCCAATGCCATCTGGAGTTGTGGGGGACCTCTCTAGAGTTGTAGGGGACTGTTAAGAGGGTATCTAGCAAGTGCTTTATGGTCCATAGGCGCTGGGCCTATCTGAGGGGTTGTTTTGGCTGAGACCGTGGGAGTGCCTCCTGGGGGTCAGCAGAAGGACCAGGGCCACGTGGGTGTTGGTGGTGGAAGCGAAGGCAGCTGGCCAGGCGCCCTCAAATGAACTTTTGTGGTTGTCAACAGAGTCCCTACAGGTGGTGCCCACGGTGATGCACCGACAATGAGTGGCTGTTTTCCAGTTTCTGGCCTCCGGTGCCTATCTAGGGTAAGTGAGTCCCTCCAGGGGTCTCCTAGGATGAGGCCTCAGCCCCCCGTTTTCCATCTCCAGTTAGGAGAAGCCCTAGCCAACCCATTTTAGGCTTGCCCTCCCCTCTACTGGGGCTTCATTAATCCCTAGAAGCTTCCATCCTATGTGTGGGGGTCTTGAGGCTTTGTATCTGCCATTTGAAGGACGCTGGGCCACTGAAATGCCCACTGGATGTTGATGACCAGAGGGTGACTCTAGGGATGAGGTGGAAGGCACAGTCTGGTTAGGGAGATGGACAACGAATCGAAATCCTAGCTCTGAAATGAGGTGATTGGGCTTCTGTTTCCCGAGGTGTGCCAGGCCATAAGCACCCCAGGAACATGACAGAGGGGCTTAGGAAGAAACCAGAGGAACACTCTCATCTCAATCAACTGTGGTGGGAGCTGGGTGGGAGAAAGGCAGTGGGTGGGTATCTGGAAGCTGCATGTCACCTGCTCACTCTGCCCCTCTGCCCCTCTCACATACTGGCAGGCAAAAGTGACCGGGACTTGCTGCTGAGGGCTGTGGCTGTCTCCATTGCTTGCCTTTCCTTGTGCCCAGCCAGGTACCCTGTTGTCCTCTGTCCTCTCCCATGCTGCCTACCACCCTCCCCGCCAGCGTGACTCTGGCCCAAGGCCTCCACTTCCTGGAATTCCCCTACCCCTACCCCTGCTCTGTCTTCCTGTCCAGCGGTCTGGCATGGCTTCCTCCTAGCCCTCTCCTCCACACCCTCAAATCCCCACTACCTGCCCCTTCCCACTCCTCTGCCTTTTCAGCGCTGCTGCTCTCTCTTCTCCCTTACCTGTCTCCCAGGTATGTCGTGGCTTGGTGCGGGAAGTTCCTACCTCCCCAAGCCCCACTGCTTCTCCTGCTGCCTGCTTGCTTCGGACTCTGACAGAAACCCCACCCGCTGACACGTTCCTCCGGGGGAATTGGCAAGTGATTAGTAATGAGCTGTCAGCACAGGGACCTAAAACTCCCTGGAGAAGCTGTGCCTCATCCTATTCCTAGACCCCTGTCCAGTGCATTGGGCTGGAAGCAGCTTCCATAGAGCCATAGATTCCCCATGGCCCAAAAGGGGAATAAGAAGGCTAGTCCAGTTGGGTGGATGGGTGATTTCCCTTGATTCTGCCTCAGCGAATGAGGGAGGGGAGCATTCCCACCACCCTATCTTGATCCACACCAACAACAGGGGACACTGGAAGTCTCCAAAACAGTCCAGTCCAGAAACCTCCCCAAAGCCCTGATCCTTGGAAGCCGCTCTTCCCTTCTGTTGACTCTTGTTAAGCCCCATTGGCCCATCATGAGAGTAGTGGAAACAGTTGCCGAGGAAGCCTTCTGGGCATATCAACCCCAGTGTGCGGTTAACTGAGAGGTGCCACTGGGATAGTCAGGGAAGGCTGGGGATAGGGATGGTGGAGTTGGGTACTCCTCCCAGCTTAACCAGCCTTGGGTCCTCCTCAGGTCTTGGATGTGCCAGTGCCTCTGGCCGCGGCCCGCTAACCAGCCTCTCCCGGGCCGGCTCCCGCCGCGCCCCCTCTCGCTTGCCCCTTCCTCCTCCTCCTGCTGCTCTCCCCCCTGCTCCCAGGACGGCAGAATGGCCGCGCAGGGCGCCCCGCGCTTCCTCCTGACCTTCGACTTTGATGAGACTATCGTGGACGAGAACAGCGACGACTCGATCGTGCGCGCCGCGCCAGGCCAGCGGCTGCCGGAGAGCCTGCGAGCCACTTACCGCGAGGGCTTCTACAACGAGTACATGCAGCGTGTCTTCAAGTACCTGGGCGAGCAGGGCGTGCGGCCACGGGACCTGCGCGCCATCTACGAAGCCATCCCTTTGTCGCCAGGCATGGGCGACCTGCTGCAGTTTGTGGCTAAGCAGGGCTCCTGCTTCGAGGTGATTCTCATCTCCGATGCCAACACCTTTGGCGTGGAGAGCGCGCTGCGCGCTGCCGGCCACCACAGCCTGTTCCGCCGCATCCTCAGCAACCCGTCGGGGCCCGACGCGCGGGGACTGCTGGCTCTGCGGCCGTTCCACACACACAGCTGCGCGCGCTGCCCCGCCAACATGTGCAAGCACAAGGTGCTCAGCGACTACCTGCGCGAGCGGGCCCACGACGGCGTGCACTTCGAGCGCCTCTTCTACGTGGGCGACGGCGCCAACGACTTCTGCCCCATGGGGCTGCTGGCGGGTGGCGACGTGGCCTTCCCGCGCCGCGGCTACCCCATGCACCACCTCATCCTGGAGGCCCAGAAGGCCGAGCCCAGCTCGTTCCGCGCCAGCGTGGTGCCCTGGGAAACGGCCGCCGACGTGCGCCAACACCTGCAGCAGGTGCTGAAGTCATGCTGAGGACGGCCGCCTGCAGGGGGCGCCAGAGCCAGCGGCGGAGGGGTGGGGAGTGGGGATTCGGGAAAGACAAAGTTAGTTTTCCTTTCCCTTTGGCTTTGCTATGTCCCTCTGGGAATTTCTGGAATCTCGTCCAGTTGGGGGCTTGGGGAGGGGACTCAGAGCCGTCCCTATCTATGCAGTTAACCCACCTCGGCCGCCTCCCCCGCTCCACTGGGCACGGTTGGGTTAGGGAGTCTGACCCATCGCGGGGTGGGGCGCAAACCCTGGAAGGCAGCAGTGTTTCTTCCTCTTCCCAGCTGGGAGGAAGGGGCCCGGCAAGTGAGAGAAGGAGCTTCTCCCGCTGCTGTAAGTGTTGCCTCGGGCCGCGTGACCGCCCCCCTCCAGTCTTCTGTGGAGGGAACCCAGGATCCTGAAATCCTCGTGGCCGCAAGGACTCCCCGCGGAGACATAGGAGGGTCTCCGCCTAGGGTTCCAGGCCTTCGCGATCTTGGTTCACCCACCGCGACCCCACACTGTTTCTGTGCTGTCAACACCCTCTTGCCTCCCGATCCCAGCACTCCCTTCTAGCACCCCCCCCCCGAAGGAAAAGCTAGAGGGAACAATCGCCTGTTGGTGGTATGAGGTAGCGCACCGTCCGGCTCGGGTCCGGTCAGCCTGTAACTTCGCAGCGCGCTACGATGTCTCCTTGCACCCCAGCCTCGTCTATACAGCAAGAGACCAGGGACTTCAAAGTCGCCCTCTCGGGCTGAGGCCTCCGAGCACTACCCCTCCCCCCATGGAACAGAAAGCCATGATGTTTTTAAGCAGAACCAGCGAAACCCTAGCCCCTCTTTCCTCTGGTGTTTTAGAACTATAACGGAGGTGAAGGGGGAAGAAATGACAGATCTCTTGCGCGTCCGTCTCAGAGTTGAGAGTGAGGTGCTCTCCGAGAGCCCCGCTTAAGTCAGGGAGATCGTCCCCACTCTTGGGCAAGTGCCCAGCCAAATACAAACACATCACACACAGCAAGCAGTGGGCAAAAGAGCAAGTTGCGGTCAATGGCTGCAGAGGGGCGTCTGGGGTCCAATGTAGCCTGCACTTTGTGGGTACCGAGGGGATGGGAGATGCTGCTTCTGGGGCAGCTGGTGGGTTGGGGGTTGAGAGCTGTGATTAGCAGCAGTCTTAGAACTGGGGTGCTTTTCAATACCTCCTGGCCCCTTATCTCGTGGGACAGTCACAGGACGTCATCCGTTTTATTCAGAGTTGGCACTTGGAGCAGGAGACCCAGCCCCGCATGGAATAGGGGTCCTCTGTTGATAAGCTTCTTGGGGTCCAGCTCTTCCCCATCTGCAGCAGGCCTCTGGGTAAAGTTCTCTCTCCTCAAGACACCCTCCCTGCCACTATGGGATCAGGGACAGAACACAGCTCGCAGCCCAAGAGGTGGGCAGAATCAGTCTCTCCGTGACCAGAGCTGGTTTTGGCCTGGGACTCATGCAACCCACTCAGTGCAGAGATCGGCTGCCCAGAGAGCCCTGGGCTGTCAGCAGCTGGGCTCCACATAGTTCCCAGGGAAGAATCCAGTCCCCTCTGAGCTGATGCCCTCGCACCAGCCATCAGAGTAGCGGCGAGTGACACAGATGATGGTGCCCTCAGAGAAGGAGAGCTCATTGTCCTTCTGGCCGGTGTATGGGTACAGTGTCACCACTGCAGGCCAAGAGAAGAGAGTGCTGTGAGATGTGCCTCTTGCCCTCTCCCCTCTACCTCCCACTACTGTGGGGAGGCAGGATCTCAAGTACTAGACTCCAGGGGAAAAGGCTGTATGTAGGAGGGGAGCTTCTTCCAAGCCTTCAGGACCCCTCCCCAGCTTAGTTAATATTTAGTACCAAGCCAGCTACCCTCTCCCCAGTTCCATTCTGAATTCATCAGGAAAATTGTGTGTGGGGCCCACACCTTTGTAGAGGGAGGGGAATGGGGGTCAGGGCAACAGAGGCAAAAGCTAGGAAATGGGATCTGGTTACTCTCAGTCCCAGAAGTCAGGTACCTTTCTCCAAGTATGAGGCAGGCACCCAGCTGGGCTCATCAGGCCCAAAGCCTGGTGGCGGTGGAGGCAGCCCCAGTTCATCTTCATCCAAGGGTGGAGGAGGAGGCAGGTCCAGCGGCAGGGGCAGCTCTTCATCTTGGGGGAAAAGCAGAAAGGCTCTAAGTGTGGCACAGGAAACTCCTTCAATGTGTCAGGGAACTGCTTGAGAGCTGGGCCCTAGAATCCACTGGCCAGACACGGTGGCTCACGCCTGTAATTCCAGCACTTTGGAAGGCTGAGGCAGGCAGATCACCTGAGGTCAGGAGTTCGAGACCAGCCTGGCCAACATGGTGAAACCCGGTCTCTACTAAAAAATTAGCTGATCATGGTGGCAAACCTGTAGTCCCAGCTACCTGGGAAACTGAGGCAGGAGAATCACTCAACCCGGGAGATGGAAGTTGTAGTGAGCCTAGATCTCACCAATTCACTCCATCCAACCTGAATGACAGAGAGACTCCAAACAAAAAAAAAAGCGCCTGTAATCCCAGCACTTTGGGAGGCCACGGCGGGTGGATCACGAGGTCAAGAGATGGAGACCATCCTGGCCAACATGGTGAAACCCCGCCTCTATAAAAAAGAAAAATGCACCTTAACTCATGCAATCTTCCTCCACCCACTCCTGTCCTCCCATAGTGCTGCTAGCACGTAGTAAGTGCTCAGTAAACCTTGAAAGATCATCCAGGAGTAGAGGATAGTCAATGCCTGCCTCTTATTAGCTGGGTGACGCTTGGGCAAGTCACTGAACTTCAGCTTCACTGGCTTCTTCTGTTAAGGGAGAGTGTAAAGACCCTCTCAAGATGAAGTTTTTTATTTTATTTTTTGAGAGGGAGTCTTGCTCTGTCACCCAGGATGGAGTGCAGTGGGGCAATCTCAGCTCGCTGCAGCCTCTGCTTCCCGGGTTCAAGTGATCCTCCTGCCTCAGCCTCCTGTGTATTACAGGATTACAGGAACGTGCCACCATGCACAGCTAATTTTTGTATTTTTAGTCATGTTGGCAATATTGGTCTCCAACTCTTGACCTCAAGTGATCCACCCTCCATGGCCTCGCAAAGTGCTGGGATTATAGCGGTGAGCCATCCCACCTGATCCTCAGGATTAAGTTTAAATGAGAAAATGGATGAGAGGCTTCAAACACAGGACCTGGTATACAGAAGGCACTAAGTTATATTAGTTCATTTCCGCCGCCTCCTTTTGCTGGCGTGCTGCCTTCCTTGGAGGAGCAGTTCACTGATGCTAGCCGGGGTAGATCCAAGAAGTGTGGGCTGAGGGGTGGCAGGAGACTGATCCCGCGGTTGGGAAGTAGAAGGGGTGGAGCTCCTTACCCGGTGGGGGCGGCGACAACTCCAGCGGGGGAGGCCGCTGGAACTCCTCGAAGACTGCTGGTGGAGGAGGTGGGTCCAAGGAGTTGAGGAGAGGTGGGGCTGGGGGTGCCGCCTGCCGCTTGGGCGTGGAGGCCCCACCGACACCTTCGGCGCTGCTGGATACCAGAGAAAGCGGGGCTCGGCCGGGTTGGCAAACACTTTCCCCGCTGCAGCATCCCCAACTGGCCCCACCCCTCCAATCCTAAACGCAGCCCCGCACGTGTGACCCAGAGTCCTCTCGTCAGGAGTCACTGCGACCACCTGCAGGAGGCCCCTCTCAAAAGCCACCTCCCACCCTCCACCCATCCACGTGGTCTTGTAGGTCTCACCCGGCCGAGGCCAGGGAAGAGGCGGAGGAGGCGGCGGAGAGTTTGCCGTCGGGCACCACTGGGAGGTGCACTGGCTCGGGAATCCGGGGTGGTCTCCTGCCAGGGAACGAGGAGTGGATATTAGGAGGGAGGAGTAAGGCTTCTGGCCAGCAGGGGTCGGGTGCGAGCAGGAAGGGCAGTTGGCTGAGGGGGAAGTTTGGCCCCGGGCATCCAGCAAGACTGCCTGAGCACCCGGGCTCCAGGGGTGGGTGGTGAGGCGGGGGAGGAGAGTTTGAGGGTCGCGCAGGGCAGGGCCAGGCTGGTTGGAGTAGCAGCGAGGTCTCACCCTAATGTGGCGGAGGCGGGTGTGGCAGGGGCCTTGATGCTCTTTCGAGACAGGGTACCGGTCCTTGACAGCTGCGTGCTGAGGTCCTGCGAGGAAGCCGGAGGTAGGGCTGACATTTGGGGTGAGGGGCGGCTCCCTGCCCTCATCCCCAAGAGGAAATGGAAGGGGGGTGGATGAGAACCCGGAGGGAGAGCCTGGCATGGCCAGTTCCCACTTCCACTTCTCAGGCTCCTCTCCTGCCCTCCCCCCACCCCACTCCCTTGTCATTGCCTGGGTTCTGGGACTCAATTCTGCTAAAGCCGACAGCCACTTCCTCTGCACAGCCGCAGGGTGTTGAGTTGGCCCAGCACCCCCGTCCCTCCTGCAGACCATCTTAGAGCCCAGGAAGCTGGGGCCCTAAATTTGGTGCTCCCTAACTTTGATTGGGCTGAGGAGAGGGTGGGGAAAGGAGAGGACATATCACCCTTAGAAGTGTCTCACCTGTCATTTTCGCAGATTTGTGGAATTGGCTTTGGGGAGTTAGGGCAGAGAGGAGCAGGACCCAGGCCACTTAAGGGGGATGTGTAAATGACAGGACACAAGCTAACGTGAAAAGGACACTTCAGCCAGGCACAGTGGCTCATACCTATAATCCCAGCACTTTGGGAGACCAAGGTGGGTGGATCACTTGAGGTCAGGAGTTCAAGACTAGCCTGGCCAACTTGGCAAAACCCCACCTCTACTAAAGATACAAAAAATTAGCCAGGCATGGTGGTGCATGCCTGTAATCCCAGCTACTCAGGAGGCTGATGCACAAGAATGGCTCCAACCCGGGAGGCTGAGGTTGCAATGCGCCAAGATTGCACCATTGCACTCCAGCCTGGGTGATGGTGAGATTCTGTTTCAAAAACAAACAGCCAAAAGGGCCGGGCACAGTGGCTCATACCTGTAATCCCAGCACTTTGGGAGGCCCAAGCAGGTGGATCACAAGGTCAGGAGTTCAAGACCAGCCTTGCCAAGATGGTGAAACCCTGTCTCTACTAAAAACTACAAAAAAAATTAGCCAGATGCGGTGGCAGGTGCCTGTAATCCCATCTACTTGGGAGGCTGAGGCAGGAGAATCGCTTAAACCCAGGAAGCGGAGGTTGCAGTGAGCCAAGATTGTGCCACTGCACTCCAACCCGGGTGACAGAGCAAGATTCCCTCTCAAAAAAATAATAAAATTAAATTTTAAAAAAGAAGAAAGGCACTTCTGTTACCGGGGGACTTCCCCAAGGGGCTGGTACAATGTTACGTCATACAGGTCACCAGGGGCAAACAAAAGGGAGTTGAGCTGAAGCAAAAAGAATATAAGTTAGATAACAGAGACCTTACTGGTGGGAAGGAGGCCTGGTGGCTGAGGGGAGAGTGTGGTTTCCCCTTTGAGGGGGCTGATAAGTTAAGGATATCAAGGGCTTCATTTCGATACAGAAATGTCAAAGTATGGATTCAGGAATTGAAGATGGGATGGGTGTGAGTGGACGTCTCCAGCATCACAGAAAGACACAGGCTGAGAAGGTGCCCTCGTCATGCTCCAAGTCCTCTTTGTGTGGCTGCATCCCCGCTTCTCACCAACAGCAGCTCTGGGGTGCCTGCTCAGTGCAGTGACCTCAAACCCCCAGACAGAGGAAGTTGCTGTTCTCATGTGGCTGGGAGCCATTCTCATGCACGCCCTGACATCCTCCCTTCCCCTTCTTCCCCTTCCCACTTGCCTGGCGCCCATGGGGGCAGGGAGGGGGGCAAGGGGTGCTCAGGATCTCACACTCAGCAGATCCTCTGAGGACGGTACAGACCAGTTTTGGAGGGAGGGAAAGGATGACAAAATCTGGGGAGAGGGAGAAGAGCTCAGAGGAATGGCTTCAGGGAACGGTGGAGGCGGGTGGATGGAGTGGCAAGTTGGGACAAAACATGCAGGATAACTGGGTCTTCAGGCAAAGGGGCCACGAGGCAGGAGAGGGTGCATTGGGAGGGAAGGAGGAGGGCTCTCTCTACCTTGATCCCATGGCCAATGTCATCCAGGCAGCCAAAGTTGAGGGGTCTCCTGCTGTAGGGCGTGAGGGTGGGTAGGCTCTCTGGGGCAATGATCTTCTGGCCAGCGGGCAGCCGCTGGACTGTGGCTAAGGTACCAATCTCTCTTCGGGCCACCTTCTCCATATGCATGTTCACCATCTGCATGACAGGGTTCGAGGTGACAGTTGGGGGGTGGTTTGTGTCCAGCGCCCTTCCCTCTAAGGCAGGAAGAAGATAGAGACTTTGGGCTGGGGTTAGGGACCAGGAGAGGCAGCGAGGTCTAGAGAAAGAGGGCCTTTCCCCACCCCCCAGGCCACATAGCAATTGGGAAAAGCATCAGAAAAGGATGAAGCCACTCGGGAGCAACTTCCTGGTGGAAAGAGAATAAGGGTTATTATTAGCTGAGCAGGAGCAGGAGGAAAAGAGAAAACACGACATCCCTGGGGACGTGTTAAGCACGGGGCAGCTTGGGAGCAGAGGGGGATAATACGGAGGTGGCTGAGAACGGTGGCTGGATCAGCTCTCCCTTTTGGGGGACAAATAAGTGAACTGACTTCCTCTCAGAATGTTCCATGGAGAAGCCTACATTATGAAAGGGTGGGAACTCTGGTCTGCCGGGGAGAGGAAAAGACACACCCCACACACTGAACATGTGGGCGATGCGCAGGCCAGGCCGAATGTGTGGTGGGATCTGTGCATGTGCTTTACAGGGCAATTCGTCGGTCAAGGATCCAGGAAGGAAGGAGGAGGGTGTGTACATTAGAACACTGTGGGGGTGGGGCTGGAGGGGGTATACGGTATGGTAGTGGCAGTGCTTCCAGGGCTGAAGATGACCTTGTCAAGCAAGCATCCTGGGTCTAGGACATTTATTTATTCGTTTATTTTTGAGCCAGAATTTCTCTCTTGTTGCCCAGGCTGTAGTGCAATGGTGCAATCTTGACTCACTGCAAACTCTGCCTCCTGGGTTCAAGCGATTCTCCTGCCTCAGCCTCCCAAGTAGCCGGGATTATAGGCGCACGCCACCACGCCCGGCTAATTTTTGTATTTTTAGTAGAGACGGGTTTTTACCATGTTGGCCAGGCTGATCTCGAACTCCTGACCTCAGGTGATCCACCCGCCTCGGCCTCTCAAAGTGCTAGGATTACAGGCGTGAGCCACTGCACCCAGCCAGGTCTAGGATATTTATTAAGACACTGCTTGTATTAAGATGCAAGCAGGGTTCATTTGCTTCTTTACTGTGTATGCCGCTGCTGTGATTGCTGAGGGGAGAGAGTAATGTCCAGGATAGCATTCTGAGAAAGAAAGAGCTCTGCCTTCGGGGAATTTGTAGCATAGCCACAGAGATAAAGAGGCCCGAAAAGCTTGGGAAGTGCCAACCTTCTGCTGTAGAGTTGGGCATTTGGACATGGAGGAAAGCAGGAAGGAACTTTTGCAGTAGAAAATGTCTGAGTCAGGCTGAAGAGCTGGGGCCTGACTCAAGATGCCTTCCCCGCTCCTTACCTGGCCCAGCGTGCTTACACGGGCTTCCACCCGTCTCAGGGCGGCCCCCTGCAGGTCCAACATGCGCAGAGTGTGACTGGCCAGGTTGCCCACCTGGTAGGCCACGCTGGCCAGTGCCTGGGTAGTGAAGGCCATGGTCTCCTCCAGCGCCTTCCGCTTGTCTGTGGCCTGAAATACACACAGCCCTGGCCTAAGGGCCAGCATCCCACTGGATCCTTGGCTGGCTGGGGTGGAATGCGAGAGGCTTTAGGGAAAGTCGGGGCTGGATTGGGAGACAGCAGCAACCCTCAGCTATCTGAGGTAGCTTCCAGCAGAACGACATTGTAGGAAGAGGGACTTGCTATAATATCACTTTAAATTCACTTTTAAAAAGTGAATCTGCAGCCTTGGGGAATGGATGCAAAGGGAGGGAAAGACACCATTCTCAAATAGGCCGAGGACTGAGAGGAGATGATGGTACAACCCTCCTGAAGAATTCAGCAACCGGCTGTCCTTTGAGGGGTTGGAGTGGGGTGAATGGTAGAAAGGAAAGAGGAAGGCAACACTGGCTAGAGCAGACAATCTCTTTTTTGGAACAGAGTCTCACTTTGTTGCCCAGGCTGGAGTACAATGACATGATCTCGGCTCACTGCAACATCTGCCTCCTGGGTTCAAGCGATTCTCCTGCCTCAGCCTCCCAAGTAGCTGGGATTACAGGCATGCACCACCATGCCTGGTGAATTTCCATATTTTTAGTAGAGGCAGGGTTTCACCATGTTGGCCACGCTGGTCTTGAACTCCTGACCTCAAGTGACCCACCTTCCTTGGCCTCTGCAAGTGCTGGGGTTACAGGCATGAATCACTGCCCCTGGCCAAGCATTCTTTTTTTTTTTTTTTTTTTTTTGAGACAGAGGTTCACTCTTGTTGCCCAGGCTGGAGTGCAGTGATGTGTTCTCGGCTGACGAAGCCTCCCCCTCCCAGGTTCAAGTGCACGTGCATTATGCTTCAGCCTCCAGAGTAGTTGGGATTATAGGCAGGCACCACCATGGCCAGCTAATTTTTAATTTTTTTTAGTAGAGACGGGGGTTTCTCCATGTAGATCAGGCTGGTGTGGGACTCCTGCTCCCAGGCGAAGTCTGCCTCAGCCTCCCAGAGTTCTGGGATTACAGGCGTGACCTACCATACCCGGCTGGCTTTCTTAAAAAGAAACAAACCATGGCCAGATGCAGTGGCTCACAACTGTAATCCCACTACTTTGGGAGGCCTGGGTGGGCATATCACTTGAGGCCAGGAGTTTGAGACCAGCCTGGCTACCATGGCGAAATGTTGTCTCTACTAAAAATACAAAAATTAACCAGACATGGTGGTGCGTGCCTGTAATCCCGGCTACTTGGGAGGCTGAGGCATGAGAATCACTTGAACCTGGGAGGCGGAGGTTACAGCGAGCTGAAATCACATCACTGCACTCCAGCCTGGGGGACAGAGTGAGACCCTGTCTCAAAAAAAAAAGCTTTCCATGTGACTCTTGCACTTTTTGTTTAGCTCCAGTCTGCAGATAGGTATTTGGGAACTCAGATAAGGAAACTGAGGCCCAGAACAGAGGGAATGTATTCATTCATTCCCTCTAATAGCTTTCCAGTACCCTGAGGATAAAATCCAAGCTTCTAACCGTGGCCTACTACAGCCCCTCCAGGTCTGGCTCCCAGCTTTCTCTTCACCTTCATCTCCTTGAAACCACCTTTACCACTTCCCTCTCACACCCTTCCCTCCAGCCACATTTGCCCACTGGGTTTTGTTCCTGAACAAGCTGAACTGTTTCTGTTTCAGGGCCTTGGCACGTGTTGTACTTATTTTCAGAATCCTTTTTGTTTTTTTTGAGATGGAATCTCACTCTGTCACCCAGGCTGGAGTACATTGGCGTGATCTCAGCTCCCTGCAACCTCCACTTCCCAGGTTCAAGCGATTCTCCTGCCTCAGCCTCCCAAGTGGCTGGGACTACAGGTGCATGCCACCATGCTCGGCTAATTTTTTGTATTTTTAGTAGAGACAGGGTTTTACCGTGTTAGCCAGGATGGTCTTGATCTCCTAACCTCGTGATCTGCCTGCCCTGGCCTCCCAAAGTGCTGGGATTACAGGTGTAAGCCACCGCGCTCGGCCTTCAGAATCTTCTTATTAGCAGGCCTCAGTTTCTCAGAGACACCTTCCTTCGCCACACCAAGATTTCCCCCAGCCCACTCCTTCCCTGCCTCTTTATCACGTTTACCCTGTTCTCTGTTCTTCATGGTTTTTAGCACTATCAAACACCATCCATGTAGTTTTCCATTATCTACCCCCATCCCTTAAATGGAAGTGTCCTGAGAGCAGGGGGCTTGTCTGTTTCATCCTGTATCCCGTCTTGGAATCACGCCCAACACACAGAAGAGTCTTCATAAATATGCACTTGTGAGTTAATTAGCAGGTCGGATGGGAACCCAAACATTCTCTGGGCACATTCCCACTGTGTTCTAGGCACAGTGCCAGGCGCTGGCCAGGGCCACACTGCCAGTCAGTGCAGGAGGGGTGAGCAGGCAGTGGCTGAAGGAAAGAAGTTTTTTTTGGGTGCCAGATCAGGCTGTGGGGGCTGGGGCAAAACTTCTCTGGTCTTTTGGTTCTGCAGGCAGCTTCCTCATCTCTGGTCGGGTTGTGGAGTCGCCATACTCTAGTCTGTACTTTTCTAAGGCAGGTAGGGGGCAAGTCCAGGGTGAATCTGGGGTAGAGCCAGTGGGCCAACAGGCCAGGCTGCACACTGCAGTCCCCTTGCTGGAGCCCTCGGGTGCCCCTCAGGGCCTGTCAATGGAGAGCAGACCTAGAAACTCTAAAAGCAGGGTCTAAGACACCTGGGGGCCTCTAATGGAGCCTGAGCCAGAACTTCTGGGAAGCCCAGGCGGTAGCTCTCTCTTCCCTGTCTTTCTTTTCCAAGAGTGGGAAAGCGATGCTCGTTTGCATGTTCATTTACATCTCATCAGCATATGCAACAAAATTTACATCTCCTCAGCATGTGTCACCAATAACTTTGAATAGGCAAAGAAATCAACCCAGGATAGTAAAACCAGACGGTAACAGGTCTTGATTTAGTTCAGGACCTTCCTTTACTGAATGAGGAAACAGGTCCAGAACTGAGCAGTGACTACTCCTCCATCTCCACCCAGGTTTCTTTCTTTTTATTTTTGAGATGGAGCCTTGTTCTGTGGCCAGTCCACCCAGATTGCTTAGCTTGCCTGTCTTCTCCTGTTCAGTTTCCTCCCCAAACTGACATGTGGAATTGTTGGCCCAAATAGGAAAAGTGTCTGCTTGGGCCCAGCTCTGGGCACCTGGAGCCCTAACACCTACTGGCCCCTGGCTTTGCTTTTGGCCCAAAGTTAGGTGTGCAGGGACGAGGGTCTGGGATCCATCTCTGTGGCTGAGTGCTTGTTTGCCATGCAAATTACCCTGACTGTAAACTCAGTCAACCCTGGCCTTCCCTGTGGGTTCCCTAACATCTCAGCAATGTGGGGAGAGAAGGGCTGCAGGTGGGGAGGGAGTGTAAGGGAGTCAGTCAGGCCTTATGTAACAGCAATTGTGAGATTCAGAAACTTCCTAGGCATTTGCCCAAAGAGCCTCAGAAAGGCCAGGAAAGGTATCAGGTTGTGTGTTCTAGTAGTTAGTGTTCTGCATGAAGGAAGCAGGAGTCTGGGGATCCCAGCCTGGGTCAGGGCTTCTGACGCCCTGCATATTTTTGCAAGGACAGCTTTTACTCCCTAGAACTGATTCTTATTATCCATCCTTCCAATGAATGATAATGATGACGATAGTCATGGTAAGAGCTGCCATTTATCTTGCTCTTCTGAAGGGGCAAACACTAGGCTAAATGCCTTGATACATTTTTACATTAAACCCATGGAGCCACCCCTGAAGGCAGGCATGAGAATCAGAGGAGAAACTTGCCACAGTTCCTGTAGTTGGTAGGTGGCAGAGCTGGAAATTGGACCTTGGTCTTTGTGACCCCAGACTGCACTGTGTGTGCAAATGAGAGCCCTGTGGAAGCTCTTTGAGGCATGCAGAAGTTATGGGAAGAATGGAAAGGGCTGCTTGGATCCTTGACCATAGAGGGAACATGCCTTTCTTTCTTTTTTTTTGAGACAGAGTCTCACTCTGTTGCCCAGGCTGGAGTGCAGTGGTGTGATCTTGGCTCACTGCAACCTCTGCCTCCTGGGTAGAGTAATTCTCATGCCTCAGCCTCCCACATAGCTGGGATTACAGGCGTGCACCACCACACCTGGTTATTTTTTCTCGTGTTTTTTTTGTTTGTTTGTTTGGTTTTGTTTTTTTAGTAGAGACAGGGTTTCACCATGTTGGCCAGGTTGGTCTTGAACTCCTGGCCTCAAGTGATCCACCCACCTCGGCCTCCCAAAGTGCTGGGAGTACAGGCGTGAGCCACCAAGCCCAGCGGGAACATGCCTTTCTATGCTAGAAGAATGCGCTGGTTTCCAAGCCTTGTTCTGCTTCATCTGCGGGTGGTCATTCAACATCCAAACAGATGGAAATGATACCCAGAGTAGCATTTTCAGTTAGTGGAATAGGGAATGGGCTTTGGATTCAGATTTCTGAGTTTGAATATGGGCTCTACCACTAGCTTGGAGACCTCTGGGAAAATGACTTCACCTTTGCAAACTTCAGCTTCCTCACTGTGAAGGGGAATGGTACTGACTTCACTAGGCTTGAGATGAGGATGAAGGGAGGCCAAGCTGGTAACATGTCTGGCCCAAAGGAAGGGTCCAGAGTGTTTTAACTGCTGTCATCACTGACTCTCTTTAATCTGCCATTTCCCATGAGTGCTTGTTCCTCATTTATTTCTTTTTTTCAACATTCTTATTATGCTAGGAGATCCCTGTGCCTGTTCTCATAGTTTGGTTAGTACATGTTAGGAAAATAAAGTTTTGCCCAAGGGGTAATAACATTAGCCTGCAGCAAGCAATTCAGGGAGCAGAGGAAATCTAAGCCAGAGAGTACAAATAAACTGTCTTAAAGTCATAAAGCAAGTCGGGAGGCAGAAAGATGGAGAGGAAAGAGCTTGGCATCAGAAGTCAGGGAGGCCCAAGTGTGGTGGCTCACATAGTAATCTTAGCACTTTGGGAGGCCAAGGTGGGCAGATCACTTGAGGCCAGGAGTTCAAGACCAGCCTGGGCTACATATGGAGACCCTGTCTCTAAAAAATAAAAAATAAAAAAAATTAGCCAGGCATGGTGCCATGTGCCTGTACACCCAGCTACTCAGCAGGCTGAAGTGGGAGGATTGCTTGAGCCCAGAAGTTCAAGGCTCCAATGAGCGATGATCATGCCACAGCACTCCAGCGTGGTTGACAGAGGAGACCCTGTCTCAAAAAAAAAAAAATCTGGCTGGGCGCAGTGGCTCAGTCCTGTAATCCCAGCACCACTCTGGGAAGCTGAGATGGGTGGATCACCTGAGCCTGACCAACATGGCAAAACCCTGTCTCTAGTAAAAATACAAAATTAGTTGGGCGTGGTGGTGCGTGTCTGTAATCTCAGCTACTCAGGAGGCTGAGGCAGGAGAATCTCTTGAACATGGAAGGCAGAGGTTGCCGTGAGCCGAAGTCACGCCATCGCACTCCAGCCTGGGCAATAAGAGCAAAACTCCAGCTCAAAAAACAAACAAACAAAGGAATGCCTGGCTCTGCTGTTTGGAGCTGTGTGGCCTTGGACAAGTCACTTCACCTCCCTGAGCTACTGTTTCCACATCTGTAAAATAGGAATTACATGCCTCACAAGGTAGTTGTACAGATTAATGAAATAACAGAAGTTATTTCCATCATGGCTAAGTTGCCTTGCTTTTCCTCCTTGAATCCAGGAATCCATGTTTTCAGCCCCAGGACAACCACACTATTTACAAACTGTTCTACAATGCCACCTCCCCATCTTCTGCTGGTAGCCTGCTCCCAGCAGTCATGTGGGCCATCCCCCTGCCTCTGCATGAGACCCCCTCTCTTTAGCCCAGCCTACTCTGCCTTATCCTCACTCTTCCTCAGATCTCAGGGAAAGCCTTTCCCTGGTCCATCTCAGTTTCACTGTGCTGTTTGGGAAGTTCTTCCGAAGCCTCTCCCAGAGCCAGCCTGGAAACAGAATGATCACCAGCATCTGTGTGAGGGCAGGGGCTTTGGGTCTCTGGACCAACCTGTGGGGGACTCAGAAGGATGAACCTGGGGTGAGGCCTGAGAACAGGATGGAATCTCACTGTCTGTCCCAGACATCTCTGAGGCTCTGAGAGCAAGAAGGGGCACAGTGGGGGCTTGGGTAGTATGGGGTCAGGGTTAAGTGTTTCGGTCTGGGATGAAGCTGAAGCCTGGAGTGGGAAGATATCTCAGCCAAGGCCCAGGACAAGCACTGTCAGGATGGCTCCCCAGGCCCAACCTGGGGCTGGGCTCAGGGTCCCTTCTCCAGGGCTGGGGTGTCAGGCCTGTGCCCGCTCTACCTACCTGCACATAGTTGTCCTCGCAGTAGTCAGCGACCCGCAGCAGGGCACTGTGGTTGCCCCGTAGAGCCTCCCGTCCCGTGGGGATCTCAAACTCCTGCAGCTGCTGCAGCTCCGCCATCACCCTCAACCTCTCTCTGGCTCCCCAGGGAGCCCGCTCGTTTTGAGCCTCACCCTGCCCTTGATTGGTTGCGCTGCCTTCCCTCCCTCTTACTGCTTTTGGTTTCCTCTGTGTGAGACCCAAACCTGCTTGCAAAGGGCAGGCACGCTCATTCCGGGACAAGAGGAAGTCAGTCCTGCTCCCTGAGCCTGCGCCTCTCTGTCCCCTGCCCAGAGGAAGGGGGAAGCCAGGGGCCCATTTGGGGGCCCAGCCCCCAGTCCCACCCAGCAGAGGAAGCGAGGGTCGGGGCAGCTGTGATTGCTCCCTGGTCCTGGAGAGGAAACTGGTCGGTGGGGGGATGGGGTGGGAGAGTGGGGAGGAAGGGGGCTGGCCTGCTATAGGGGGTGGAGGTGGATTTTCCACTTATGGAAGGCGGGAGGAAAGGGCAGAGGGTGGGGGCTTCCTTGGGAAGCTCAGGGATGAGTCACCAAGGGACAGGGGAGTGGAGGGTGGATAGGATATGGAGACCCGTCATACCGGAGAGGACTGTGGGGCGGCAGCACAACAAAAATAGAAAACGGCCAATGCGGCAGCAAGAGGAGTCAGGGTGGACACCGGGAAGACACGGCCAGAGGTTCCAGAGGGGTGTTAGCAAGCCTGCGAACGGTTGTGTGTGATGAAGAGCTGCCCTACATGCTCTGTGCTGATGAAGGCAGAACAAGATGAAATTGACCACGTGTAATCTGAGTTCCTCAGATTAGACAACAGGAAGGACTTGGATTTGAGAAGTACCAGGTTCAAATTCCACATCAACTTGTTGGTTTTAGGAAGCAGCGGTGGACAGAGCAGTGAGCCTGCCTAGGAGGTATGGGCTGTAGTTCATGCATTAGCAGGACACTTGGACCAGACGACCTCCAGGATCCTGTCCTGATGTCAAACCCTTAGCTCTCCCAGCTGTGAGTGGGACTGGGTTCTGGAGCAGGGGAGTTAGGATGGCCACCCTTTTCTCTGCCCCTCCCACCATCAAGCCTGTCATCCTAGAGACAGGAGAATAAGAGGACCTCCCATTGACCATGTTGGTCTCTTAAATTCTGCTCCTCCGTTGGATCCTTTGTCACTGGGCAGGTGTCAAAGAGCAGTGTCAAAAACGAGGAGGCTCAAACACACAGAGCAGGAGCTCAGTGTTAAATGGCATAGCCCTTGGGTGGTCCTGGGGGTAGAGCAAGAAAAAAACCAGGATGTGGGCCCTGTGCTGGGGAACCCACACTCAGGGTTCAGAGGGAGGCGTGGCAGCAAAGAAGCTTGAACACAGGCGTTAGAGGTGGCCACTCTCCAAGTACTAAGTGGCACAGCATAGTGAGCAAGGACGTTTTTATTGAATAAGTGGATGAAAGTGAGCTAGGAGAACCTGTAAGGTGAAACTCTGGGGGTCCAATGGGCACATCGGGCGTCTTGGTTAGGGAGATTGGGGGCCGGTCTAGGACTTGCCGCAGGAGGAAGGACAGCCTCAGCGCATGCTCAGAGGTGGGGAGGGAAGGAGGAAAAAGCAGGCGAAGAGGGGCGGGTGAGGCAGGGTAGGAGGCGGGGAAATAGAAGCGCTGGGGGCTCTAAGCTAGTGAGGTCACCAAAAGAGCGAGGCTAATGCAGGGCAAGGTGGTGAGAAGGTGGCTTCTGTGTTCTAGTTTGTTTTTGTGCGGAGAATGTCCGTCTCTCTGCTCTGCGGCAGTGAGGGCTTGAAGGCTCAGGCGGGTGATGGGCTTAGAACTTTGAGCCTATGATCAGCTTAGGCATCAGAGATTTTGGTTTCCAGGTCATCTGCTTTATCTGAAGATTTTCAGCTGATGAATAACTAGGAGGCTCAAATACTGTCTTACCTGAGTTCAGGACAAGCAACTTGGAGAGCGTGCTCTTCTGTGGCAGGTGAGAGGGGCTGAGGCTGCACTGGGCTGGGCTCTACTCTTAGAGGTTAGGCACTAGCAGGCCTTGCTGATAACCCTGCAGTGATCACAATGACAGTAGTATTATTAGTGACAATAATAAATGTATAAAGTGTTCATTATGTGCCAGGTAGTATATTATCATATTTTCTATGCATTATTTTCTTAGGACCTACAGTAATTGTATGTGTTAGGTTTTTTAATAATCATCTTGCAGCTGGGAAAACTAATACTCAGGAAGGTTGGGTGACTTCCCTAAGGCCACATTAAGGTGGGAAGCAACAGAGCTAGGATCAGAGTTGGAGTCTGGCAAGCTCCAGATCCCCTTGTCTCTCTCTGTCTCTTTATTTTATTATTATTATTTTTTTTTAGATGAGTCTCACTCTTGTCACCCACGCTGGAGTGCAGTGGCTGGATCTCGGCTCACTGCAACCTCCCCCTCCCAGGTTCAATCGATTCTCCTGCATCAGCCTCCTTTGTAGCTGGGACTACAGGCATGAGCCACCATCCCTGCCTAATTGTATTTTTAGCAGAGACAGAGTTTTACCATGTTGGCCAGGTTGGTCAGGAACCCCTGACCTCAGGGTGTCTCTGAAGACAGATCATTTAAATTTCCTCTATAGACAGGATCCACCTATCTTAGCCTCCCAAAGTGCTGAGATTAAAAGTGTGAGCCACTGAGCCTGGCTTTTTTTTTTTTTTTTTTTTTTAACTTTTGAGACAGAGTCTAGCTCTGTCACCCAGGCTGAAGTGCAGTGGCATGAGCTCGGCTCACTGCAACCTTTGGGTTCAAGCGATTCTCGTACCTCAGCCTCCCGAGTAGCTGGGATTACAGGCACTCGCCACCACACCTGGCTAATTTTTGTATCTTTTGTAAGCATGAGGTTTCACCATGTTGGCCAGGCAGATATTGAACTCCTGGGCTCAAGCAATCCACCCACCTTGGCCTCCCAAAGTGCTGGGATTATAGGGGTGAATCATTGCGCTCAGCCAAGACCTCCTTCTCCTGACCATTATTGTATATTCTTCCCTGCTGGACCTGGAGAAAAAGAGGAAAACTCCCTGGGTCACTATATGAAACAATAACGTTGCTTCCCAGATCTTCCCACTAAAAGGAAGGTGCCCCATCCTTTTTCTTCCTCCTTTGTTTCCTCTGTAGACAGACAATTTAAATTTCCTCCATAGACAGACAATCCAAAGGCAAAAATTGTGCCTCCCCCATCAGACTGAATAATGAGGGGCCCGAACTGAGGGGTATGGCAGGGAAGTGGAGGGAGCTGGAAGAGCTGATGGGATTTACGATCCTGGCTGCTGAATCCTTTCCGGGATCAGGTCTGTCTAGGGCAGGATGGCCCAGGATCTCAGCGAGAAGGACCTGTTGAAGATGGAGGTCGAGCAGCTAAAGAAGGAAGTGAAAAACACAAGAATTCCGGTGAGCCTCCTCACCCAGTCCCTGCTCTTCCCTTCCTGTTCCTGATGAGTCCTGGGAAGGAGGAAGTGACCGGAAAGGGTTGTGGGACTGTTCCAGGGCTGCAGAAGCAGCAGGAGGTGCCTCTGGGATGGGGGAGGATGCGAGAAAGGCTGGGGTTGACCCCGTGAAAGTGCCAGCCTCCCTGATCACAGGAGAGAACCTCAGGGCCTTGGAGAGCTCAGCACATCCAGCCCCTTGTCTGGGCTCATCCTGGCCAAGCATCCCACGAAGGTCAAGGTCAGTGTTGTGAGTCAGGTCCAGGAACCCACACTCGGAACACCTGTCTGTCCCCTGTGTATTTCTCTTCTTCGGCCTCTGTCTCCACCCTGCCCGGAAGCCTGTTTTCCCAGCTGACCAAATCATGGATTCAGAGAAAGTAACAAGCACCATAAACATTTTCTGTGTTCTCACAGGTTTCCAAAGCGGGAAAGGAAATCAAGGAGTACGTGGAGGCCCAAGCAGGAAACGACCCTTTTATCAAAGGCATCCCTGAAGACAAGAATCCCTTCAAGGAGAAAGGCGGCTGTCTGATAAGCTGATGGCACAGAGCCCCGCCCTGAGAGTCTGTCCCTGTTCAGCCGAGCCTAAGTCTCCTAGACCCCCAGGGAGCCAGTAAACTGTCACCTTCTCTTCATCGAAGAATGAGTAAAGACCCCTGAACAAATGCACTGTGAATCATTCCCCACTCCCACCTTCGACTCTTTTCTCCCATGATTTCCCCCACCTGCTGGGTCTCTGCTGACCTTGCTGGGAGCTCTGAGGACAGTGTGACTGGCTGAGCTGTTGGCCCCATGGGTGGTGGGGTGTGAGGAGCCTGCGATACCCTGAGACCTCAGAGAGCAGTCCTTGGGAAGCACTTACACCTCCTTAGAGCCCCTCCATCTTTTCCCTCCACTCTTTCCCTAGGAAAAAAGCATTTCCACGCCAGAGTAGTTTGGGCTGGGGGCCAGGGTTGGGGGGTCCCGTCCCCCCATCTCATGTCCTACCCTGTGGTCCTGTTCCTAATCATTTAGATCACCCTAGATGGCCTGATGACAACAAGAGTTTGTGAAGTTATGATTTCGTGCTTTAATATTGTTGAGTAGCCTGTTAGTGCTGGGCTCCCATCTCCATGGAATTTAGTGGAGAAGACATGAAAAGATTTACAATTAAGTCCATAAACACTACAATGGGAGAGTCAAGGGCGGTGTAGGAATACACAGCAGAGAGACATTCAGGGCAGTGAGCAAGGTCAATGTAAATGCCGTGGAGGGGCGCAGAATGGGGCCTGGAAAAGCATGAGGCTAGAGAGGGAGATTGGGGTCAAGTCTTGAAGGACCTTTCTGAGAGCTCAGTTAGGAACTTTTTTCTTCATCCTAAGGGCAATAGGAAGTCTAGGACGGTATTTAAGCAGATTCTGATTAGCAGAAGGGAGGCTGGCTCCTGCTAAAGACTGGAGATGCAGTGATGGATGAGACTGATTCCTGGGCCTTGCCAGCAAGGAAACGACTGTCTGACGGAGCCACAGACAAACCAGCACTCATGATACAGGGCGCTCAGTGCAACGTCAGGGAGGTCTGCGAGGGATCTGATGGAATCCCATAGGAGGGCTACCTAATCCTGCCGAAGGGCTGCGTTGAGTTTTGGGAAGGAAGACAGGAAAGGCCTTTAGAAGGAGATGATATCTGGAGCTGAGTGCTAAAGGGTTGTCAATGGGTGGATGGATGGCACTTCTGATTGATGAGCCAGTATAAACAGAGGCATAGATATGAGAAAGGACCACGGTTTGGATGGGAGCGCCAGTCAGGTTGGAGTGGGAATGTCAAGAGGTCTGGATCCTTAGGATCTGCTGCTAGAGAGGGCTTGGAGGTGACCAGAGGGGTCTTGCTTGCTGAACTAAACAAACATTTGCTAGGAGTGACTTGGTAATGTTAGAAGGAAATTTCTTTTTTGGGAGGGTGGGTGACAGGGTCTTGCTCTGTCGCCTAGGTTGGAGTACAGTGGCATGATTGTGGCTCACTGAAGCCTCTGCTTCCTGGGCTCAAGCAATCCTCCCACCTCGGCCTCCCGAGTAGCTGGGACTACAGGCGTGCACCACCATGCCTGGCTAATTTTTTGTATGTTAGTAGAGACGGGGTTTCACCATGGCCAGGATGGTCCCAATCTCCTGACCTCATGATCCACCTGCCTCGGCCTCCCAAAGTGCTAGGATTACAGGTGTGAGCCATCATGCCCAGCCTTAACATTTTTTTGTAGAGACAGGATCTCACTGTATTGCACAGGCTGGTCTCGAACCCCTGGCCTCAAGTGATCCTCTTGCCTTGGTTTCCCAAAATGCTGGGATTATACATGTGAGCCACCAAGGCTGGCTGGAAATTTGCTTTTTACAATATGGAATAGGGGGCTGGGCACGGTGGCTCACACCTGTAATCCCAGCACTTTGGGAGGCCAAGGCGGGCAGATCACGAAGTCAAGAGATCAAGGCCATCCTGGCCAACATGGTGAAATCTCGTCTCTACTAAAAGCACAAAAAATTAGCCGGGCGTGGTGGTGCGTGCCTGTAGTCCCAGCTACTCGGGAGGCTGAGGCAGGAGAATTGCTTGAAACCGGAAAATGGCAGTTGCGGTGAGCTGGGATCCCGCCACTGCACTCCAGCCTGGCGATAGAGCGAGACTGTCTCAAAAAAACAAAACAAAACAAAAAAACAATATTGAACAGGGGAGAGTGAAGGCAGAGAAGCAATTAAGGAGGTGATTGTTCCATTGGGGTGAAGCGAGGAAGGCCTGAATTAGGGCAGTGACCATGAGTCGGGGGGCAGTAGGCAAGTTGCTGAGTTCTTTGGGAAATAAGGTTTTCAGATCTTGACATTTATTTGAGTTATGAGTGAAGGAGAATGAGTTGTCAAGGATGGCATCCAAGTTTCTGGCTTGTAGGGTTTCCTAGGTAGAAATGAAAGCAAGTCTCTGAAAACAAACCTAATCTAATACGGTCATCCTGCATACTACAGCTGCCGCCTCCCTTCCCTAGGAGGTCACAGCCCAGATGCCGAGGGTGAGGTCACAGGGCCTCTGTGGTCAAAATCCAGGGTCTCTCTAATTCCCAAACCCATCCTGACTCCATCTCACCATTCTGCAAGCTAGTCTCAATTCAACCACTCTCCCTATACTCGGCTCAAGAGAAGGAAAAGATGAGGAATGAGAAAGAGAAAACATTTAAAGACAGTAATTCTTTCTTCAAAAAACGGGGAAAGGTAAATATTCCATAGGGCTCCAGCAGTAAGAAAGGAAAAAAAAGGTGGGAGCACCAGTCATGCGGCCGTCAGCCACATGGCTACAGCTTCCTTCTTCCACCTGCCTGCTGTCTTCTCCTGTCTTCAGGCACTCTCACTGGTTGGGGTTCTGGGTCCAGAGCAGTGACTCTAACCTCTGTTCCTGAGGCTCTTGAACCCTTGGTGGGTCTCTGATTAGAGTAGCAGTTTCTTTCTTTTCTTTCTTTTCTTTTCTTTCTTTCTTTCTTTCTTCTTTCTTTCTTTCTATCTTCTTCTTTCTTTCTTTCTTTCTTCTTTCTTTCTTTCCTCTCTCATTCTTTCTTTTTGAGATGGAGTCTTGCTCTGTTGCCCAGGCTGGAGTGCAAAGGCACAATCTCAGCTCACTGCAACCTCCGCCTCCTGGGTTCAAGTAATTCTCCTGCCTCAGCCTCCTAAGTAGCTGGGATTACAGGCATGAGCCATCACGCCTGGCTAATTTTTTTGTGTTTTTAGTAGAGATGAGGTTTCACCATGTTGGCCAGGCTGGTCTCGAACACCTGACCTAGGAATCTGTCCACCTCAGCCTCCCAAAGTGCTAGGATTACAGGTGTGAGCCACCACGCCTGGCTAACAGTAGCAGTTTCTTCGCCCACTGTTCCGCAGGGGAATGTGACCCAGATGTTCTCTGGTTCCTCCTGTACCTTTCCTGGCTGCCCTGAGGTGTGGCAACAATCACAGGACTCCCTGAGTCTCAAGGTTGGTCATCACCCTGACACTCTGACCCCCTTTCCTGTCTTTTCCTAACGCCATAGGGAGCCTCACATGGCAGGGTAGAAGTCTCAGCTTCTAAAGGGATCGTGACATTGCGCCCTGCGGCAGCGTTCCTGTCTTGCATGCCCAGACCTTCACACCATCAATTAGGAGGACAAGAATGATCATTCTGAGAGTGGGTCATTGATGCCATCTGAACCATCCTTTCCCCTCTAGCCTATAGATCCTTGAGATGTTTAGTCACGAAGGGAAAACACAGTGAATTGTTTCTTGTTCCATTCCTAGCACGGCCGGCAACCTTTCGACAGCACTTAGTCTTTGCAAAGTGCACCACCATGGGTCTTTACTAGGCCAGCCTGTCACTCTGTAAAGCCACTTGCTTCTAGGAAACAGACACATGGTAAGATCAGCAAATCCTGTTGATATTAGCCCCAGCCTTGTTTCTTTTTGTTTCTTCGGTAGTTTTATTTTGAAGAATTTTAGATTTACAGGGGAATCGCAAAGTTAGTACAGAGAGTTCCCACAGACACTTAACCCAGCTTCCCCTAATGTTAACATCTTCCTAACCATGTGACTTTTAAAATTAAAAAATTAACACTGGTATAACACTGTTAACTGAACTCCAGAGTTTATTTGGATTTTCCTAGCTTTTTCACTAACGCCATGTTTCTGTTCCAAGATCCACATTACATTTAATGCCTTACTTCTTCTTCTGGGAAGAGTTTCTTGGTTGGAGTTAGCCTGGGCTAGGACACCATGAGTCCATAGATGGTGGTGTTGGCAGGGAATGAATGCAGACTCAATTCCTGAAAAAGTACCTATTCCAATGAGGACAATTACCACCACCAGAAAACTGGATGGTTGCACTGAGTTCTGGTACTGTGTGAGGGGCTCAGGGTTTCACTGTCGCCAGCTCATTGGGGGATAGTGGAGCTGCGCTGGCCTTGATGAAGAGAAGTCCATGATGTTCCACCCAGGCAGAGCCTCTATTCCTGCTTCTCCGACTGCTTTGTTTCATGAGCCCTAGACAGCCCCTTGTGAAGATCCCCTTCTGCAGGGAGCCTTCTGGTAAACCTGTTTGTGACACGTACTTTCAGTTTCCTGGCTCACCCAAAGAGGTCCAGCCACAAAGCTCTCCCCAGATCTCCTTGTCTTCAATTCACTTATGCTCCAAGATCTTTTTTTAAAAAAACTTCTTCATCAATTAATTTATTTTTTTTAGAGACAGGGTTTCACCATGTCCGTCAGGCTGGTCCTGAACTCCTGATCTCAGGTGATCCTGGGATTACAGGCATGAGCCACCATGCCCGGCAATGATCCAAGATCTTGATCATCTGACTCAAACCTTAATTGCTTCCCAGGAATCGGACAGGAAGAAATTCCTTTCTCTGCTGACTTTTAGGGCCATTCTCAGAAGGTCAGTTTCCAGAGAAAGGAGAATCACCACGATCCAGCCACTTGACGTGATTAGGAACTGAATTGGGGAGGACAGGTAAGAATGGAGAGGAGATGAACTGGAGAGGTAGTGAAGAAGTAGAAATTTCAGAACCTAGAGATTGCATGTTGGAAGGCTGGAGAAGAAATTATCAAGGATGACTTCCAGTTTCCTCCGTGGATGACCGGGTGAATGGTGGTGTCACCAGTTGGAAAGCCCTCTCCACCAGGTGATTCCACGTGACTCCATAGGCTTCTCCCCACTTTGCACCCCTGTGGGGGATCACTGAGAGGTAGTAGCAGATACAAACAAAAGTGGGTGAGATTGACCAAGAGAACTGTGTGGATTGAGAGAAGGAGGGCCAAGAATAGAGCTTGGAGGAACTTCAGGAACTCAGGCCAGGGTGAGGGAAGATGGGTGTGGAGAGGACCAAGCGCAGAGGGTCAGAGGAGTGAGGCCACCAGCAGAAACCACATAATTGCAATAAAAGGACGCCAAGCCAGGAAAAGGCAGTAAGCGGGAGGGAATACTCTTGAACTCCTTGATTTCCTGGTCAAGTAACATGGAACTGAACCATTCTCAAGTTCAGATTCTATTGTCACCCTCCTTCCACACTGCACCAAA